CCCACACTCAGAATATTGAGTCGACGTGGAATACGTGCAAGTACAACATCAAGATGCACAAAGGCATTCTTGGTGTTAAACTGGATGAACTGTTGTGTGAGTTCATGTGGAAGCACAATACTGGGAAAAGAATGGGCTTGATAGCATTATTTGAGCTTCTTAGGATCCAATAAATCACTCTAATTCATGTTTTTATTTTTACTAAGAAAACTCCATGGGGAAAAAAAGGGACCTTAAAATCCGATGGGGAAAAAAAGGGACCTTAAACTGAAATGGGGAAAAAAAGGGACTTGATCCGAGAATAGTGATACTCTTGAATCCGGTAGTAGCAGTATTCAATTTGCTATTTCTGATGGTAGTGGAATTAGTGAAATCGTAACGGCTGTTAAGAATGTTACTGTAATGGGCGACAGTAGCAAATCCAATGAAAGCTGTGAAACAATCACTGTTGAAGATGTGGTGGAACATGAACAAGTTGAATTGAAATGTGTCTCAGAACACGAATCAAATTCATATTCAGCAACTGAATTTGACAAAGTATTTAAGATTGATAGTACGACTGTTATGGATTCACTTGATACAAAGGGGGATGTATCAGGTGATAAACCAGAAACAGTGAAAGAATCAATGGATTTGAATGGGGGCAACAAATCCATTGATCAAAATACAGAGTCATCTTCATATGTTGGATCAGAAAGAATGTCAGGTGAGAATGAAATAATTGATCAATCAAAAGAGACACATATCAAAACATGGGCAGTGGAGAATAAGACTAGGAAAATAGTAATTACTTCACCAGATGGTAACATAATATCAGAGAATATTTTGGATAGATCTCAGAGAATACCACATCCAGAAAATAGGTCGTGGTTTAGAAGATACTTTGGATGCATTTTAGGAGACTTTTGTGGATAAATTGTAAATAAAATAGTATTGTAGGTATAATTATGTAGAGCTAATAATGGATATTCTTTCTGTTGGATTTTGAGGTCTCTTTTTGGTTGAATGTTAGTGTTTATTTCTATTGCACTACATGTGCTTTTTTTTTTAAATTGTATTAAAGAGAACAAGCTTATATTTTTTTATTCAATATGTATGTCTTCAAATTAACTTTTTAGAAAAAATATGTGAATTGCTCTATGTTTGAAATAGTGTATTTTATGTGCATATCTGGCATATTTAAGGTTAAAAATAATTCAAAAAAGCAACGAACTGGACATTTGAAATTATTATAGTATAGATTGGTTTATGAAAAGTATATCAAATTGACACATATCTTATTAAATAGTTTCAAAAGTAGTTGATAATAAAGAGAATTCCTTTAATAAAAACGTTTTATGCTTATTCCAAAAATTTTGTTGAATAAATATATTAAATTCATCTACTTTTTATCATTAATTATGCTTTAAATAAATTTTTTTAATACAAATAAGAAATAAGAAAGACATTATGAAAAAAAGGACATAACTTTAGCCCCCAACATAATGTTTTATGAAAATAGGTCAGTCCAGAATGTTAATCAAAAACAAGATGATATTATATTATCAGTTAATATTTTTGTGGTTCAAAATGTTTTCCTGTTATGTTTTATTGTATTTAACTAACAGAAAAGGTGTGTTTGATAAAACGTAATTTAAAAAGTCAAGGTGGCCGAATTTTTTTGAATATTGTGTTATAAAGCACAAGCGTTCATTATATGTTTATAATCAATTAAAAATATTATACACACAAGCAATTCGAATCAAACAGAAAAAGAATATATAATAAAATCACATTCAAATTCAAATAACGCATTTTGACATTAGACATATACAATTATATACATGTGATGAAAGTTTTTATATTGTTTAAGAGTAAATTAAAAATAGAGAAATTACAATTATTATACATTCATTAATATATGAATTGTTATTTTTATAAAAATAAGTGAAGTAAATCAAATATTGTTTAAATTTAACTTTTACATTAATACTAACACCAAATAATTGCATGTATGATTTATATTATTTGGTTGTGAGAAATTAAAAATTTATCAAAGGTATTAACAAGACATAAATACCAATGGAAAACTATAAGTATACGTAATAAAGATAATAAATAAAAATATGTTTCGAGGTTTTTCTTGACACATAACATGAAAGAAAAGACACAAATTAGAACGATTAAACTTAAATCATCAAATCAACCAAAGTCAAAAGACAATAAAATTCTTGAAATAATATAGCGACAAATCACCATATAATATCGAGGTTTTCCAATTGAAATTTATAACTCATAAAATTTATTATTAAATTAAGAAAGTAAATATAAAAAGGATACAATTGTTATATATTCCATTTAAAAACATACATTATTTTTATTTTCATGTATTTTAAATTCCACGAAGAATTACAATTGAATACATTATGTTCTAAGGGATAACGTATAAAAACAAGCATAGTTAACATTTAAGATAGCCAAATTGAACATTTTGCTTACGTATTACTTATTTTTAAGTGTGATATTCAGTTGGGGAGTGTATTAAACGTTTATATTTTTAATAACCTACTGTGAAATCTAAAATTATATTTAAACTCAATTTATACTTGTTGTAATAAAATGTTACATGTAAATAAAATAAACAATTAAAATTTTTAAATCCTAATGTTCAAGTTGAATTTTATATACCCTATGTATTGAGACCAATGAGAAAATCCTTTTTTGGCCTCTATTTTAATAACTGTATTATTCTATACATTAATAAGATATATTGTTCTTGCAACAATGATTTGTATAAAAACTTTAAGAATGAAAAATGTGTAGTTAAACATTCAGATATTAAATATAAATCTGATTATTGAAGAAATATAACGTTTTCACATAAGCCCAAACATATTTTATTTGCTTCATACTTTTTTAATTACAAACACACACTTTTATAAACATATGACATCCAAACCTGAAAGTATATAGCTATTAATTATTTAAGACACCTAATCCGATTTTTTAGGGCAAATGCAAAATGAACACTTCTCCTCATTGTAAAAACAAAAAGGAAATATTAACATAGGAATATGCATTTAGGAATATATTAAAGTGCGTTATATAGATATAACTATAAATCTAAATAGCAACTACAGATTTCAATTTTATTCGTTTATTTAACAACAAATAATTTTTATTATAGTTTTGTACATTTTCATTTTATAATAATTAAAAATATTTCTATCGCAATATTTATTTTGCGCATAAACTATCAAAATAAAAAATTGTTTGAGTACATAACGATATATTGGTTTATAACGACGATACTATTTTTCAGTATTATGAACTTATATAGGCTGAATGAAATGTATATCTTAAAATATTAACATAATCGCATTAGGAATATTAAATTAAACTTCGATTCAAACACTGTCGATTTGATAAATTCTATTTTAAATACATATTGTCATTTCTTAAATTTTTGGTGTTCTGATACTTTCGTTTTTATGTACTGTTTTTATAATTAAAGTAGTATACAAGTAATGACATTCTATATATTATAACGAATCCCTCTTAATATTCATTTACTTATGAGATTATTGGGTAGATATCTTGCCTAACCTAAATTTGTATAAAATGAACTATTTACAGATTCATAAATATATTGTAGAGAGGTATGTTATGGAATTTAATTATGATATAAATTCAATAAAACTGTTGTTGTTTTTATTAAAGTACTATATTTTCATATGTAGAGATGTGTAGCACAAAAGTGTATTAGTCGATAAATAATAAAAAAACAGTGGTGGGATTTAGATTAACAGAATGCACTCTGATTTTTGGTTCACTAAAATAATAAAAATGGCAAGCACTAACTAGATTATTAAATGTTTCAGAGTATCATCTTTCTTCGCAACAAATGTTACTTCGCTGTAATATTTATTATGAAGTTAATCTTTCATTAATATAAAATACAAAATATTTATTCAATATCAAAGAGAGAATTCAAACATCTTTTTTAAATTTAGTTTTCAAATGTTATAATATATTAGAAAAAGTAAATACAACTAAATAAAAACTTGCGTTTAATATGAATTATAATCATGGTAATGCAGTTTAATATATTTTTGTATCAATACTTTCATGAAAAACCTTATAGTTTTTTGTATGAATTGCTATTCTACTATGTTTATTCTACATATAAAAGATGTATATTTGTGTGTAGCATAAGGTTTTTATATAATGATATCATAATGTTAATGCTCTACAATACAATATACTATTTGTTGAACATTAAAAATATTTTATAAAGCTTCCTGGAAATCACATATTAATCAAATGATTAAGAACTTGTTTTCTTTAGATACATATTTTAAAGGCAACACGCATTTATAAAATAAGATGGGTATTACATTACTATAATCTGAAAAAATTAATAAAACAGTCATAAATTCTTATTTGCACTATAATGCTCAACAATCGAATACTCCTATCTCATTGAACGGAGTTGAGAGAATGTACATTCCTCTCGCCTTACAAGGTTTCAGCAGTTACTAAAGTGTGGTATCTACAAATTTTCAAAAAGCGTAATAATAATAATAAGAATTTTAATTATAAAAATATGCTTATTAAAACAAGTCTGACCAATGGAATGATTGAAACCGTAGATGATGATATTGTTTATATGGTAAATATGCTACAGGTTTCTGCATTGAGTATAATATTCGCTACTACGAAGGTTGTGTATTATTAAATACAAATAATCATATAAAATTACTGTAATCAAAACTTAATACAATTGTAGAATATTGATTAACTTGTTTGCAAAATCATTGTTTTAGTATAAGATAATATAAATCAAAAATACGATAAGAAACTAACCAACAATAAACTTTGTTTCGGTGATATGCTGTTTAACTTCTTACTATATATGTTTAATTCATTTATTGACTTCAACGTATAACGATTAATTGAATTTATATCCTAAACATAACACACAAAATTTTATTTTTCTATAATTTGAAATGTTATTATAAAAAGACGAGTTGAATATCTAAATATAATAAAATTAACAATGGAGAGGTGTATTTACATGTTAGATTTTCTACTAATTTAACCTCTAAGTTGTATTATATCAAACAAGAAATGATTTAGAACTATGCGCAATGTTTTTGCAATTATATACAACTGTTAAATAAATGCAAAATCTATTATTTTTAATTATATGTTGAAAAATATTTGTTATAGAATATTTGAAACGTTGTTTTCTATTTTTGATAATTATATCAAGATAATATTGAATTTCAATGTTAAAGGTTACGAAAAATAAGTTTGTTATAAATATATTCTACTAACTTTATTTGGTATTTGAATATTTATAAATGTAAATATAATTTATATGTTTACTATATTCGAAAGATTGTTTTATAAAAACATGGTCTTGCTAGAATATTGATATTTATAAATTTATTTTGATGCAATATTAAATGATAGTATGTTTAATTTTGAAATAACACCCTTGCATTTCTATTTTTTATAGGGGTAAATATTACGATTTTCAAAGTAATTATGAATTTGTAACAACAAACTCAATTATTTTTCAATTAGAAATTTGACATTTAAAGTTATGTTGCTCATCTCTATAATTATACTATGGTTGTTTTGAAGCATTTAATTATTTTGTTCTGAGCTCATCACTCTTATTACCAATTTAGAAAGGGATATGGTATATTATAAGCCTCTAAAATCTATGCAGATGCATTTAGTATCCACTGAGCATCCATTTTTATGCTTTAGTCTTCCCTTACTTTGAGATGCAAGATTTTTATATTAAATTATATTCCGTGTTAAAGAATTATAAGTTTGATTATGGATCATGTCCTTTTTTTTCCCCACGTGGGGAAAAAAAGGGACCTTAGAAATTTTAAGGTAAAAATCCACCCTTTATATTTAGTAGGTTTTTACCCTTATGTTTAGCTACTACCAGAATGTGCTGGAACCTGTTATGAATGGGCCTGTTGCGGGTCTCGTGGAGTTCCTCAGAGTTAGAGGAGTGTTGAAGCGAGTGGTTGCATGTCCAACGTGCTCTGTTGACATGGTATGCAAGCCATACACCCGCAACAAAGATGGAATGGCGTTCAGGTGCTACAACCATG